CCAACATTTCTCTGTCCAATGGTGAAAACCGCAGGTCTCCAGCTGTTTCCATTCTGGAATTATTCAAAAAACAACCACGCGCACTATAATTTGAAACCGATAGTAGTATTCATACTGAAGACAATGTGATCGAGTATATGAAAAATAATACGCATATGAGGAAATTTGAAATGTAGCGTTTAGTTCATTGTTCGATATTTGTCTCGAATATCTTTTAAGAAATATAAAAGACAATTCGTGTTTATGGATTTGTTTCCGAGAAGATCAAATGTGTCTAGTGAATTTTCTCTATAGAATCGCACATTTAAAAAAAAACTATTTTCGAATTTCGACCTAAAACTGTCTACATAAAGAAGTGTAGGCCTACAATGAGAATTCACTAAGTATCAAAAAGCAAGTCATAAATATGAAATTGTTTTCTAGGAGACAAAGTTAAAAAGAAATTTCAGCTGAGCATCGAGAATTAGACATCTTAGAATATTTTTTATATAAAGTCTATCTACAGATGCTTGTCTTATATTTATCTTGCATATCTTCTACCACAATATTTGACTTCAACGATGCGTTCAATTAGAGTATTATCAGTAGAAAATTAATATATGCTCAGTAAATGTCATAGACTTTCAGCAAAAAGAAAACAGTAACCGAATTGTGAAGGTTTTGGCTAGAATGATCAGCATTTTTTTTATTCTTTTTGAATAAAATGATAGAATTAAGTTTCTTCTAAATACGTATAGCGAAGATCATATAGAGTTCGGATTAGCGGATGATTATAAAAAAAAATTTCTCTAAATATTTCTAGCCATTGTAAATACTACGAGTAACATTCTTCATACAACGGAAATCTTAACTACAACATTAATTTCATGGACTACAAAACTATATTCAAATGAAAGTAATACAACATTATTTAATATACCTTATTGGAAATTAGATGATTTATCTGATGAAAATCCATCTTCATCACCTGGTCAAATTCTATTAACATTAATTCTTTATTTATTATGTGCTTTAATAGCATTTACATTATTAATTATTCTTTTTTCTATTATTATATTTACATATCGTAAACATTGTTGTCCATCATCATCATCAATGATAGATCATCGATATCAATTGGGTAAAACTAAATTAAATAATCGTATTGGTATACAAATTGAAAATATTGATCATGATAATCAAACTGTAAAAACAATGAATACAACCGTTCGACCATGTTTTGAATAAAAAAAAATAGATTTTTTTTTTTTTAAATAATTAATATATATATACACAAAATTATTTTCAAAACTCTACAGTTTAAGATGAAATATTTGTTGTAATGGATGATGTATTGAGATTTGGATAAACTTGAATTATATTTTGATTATGCCATGGTTGATCAAGTTGAACAAGAATATAATCATAGACAAATTTATTTGTAATATTCTATAAGAATAATATGTATTATTCTTTGAATAAGAGAAAATATTCATGACATACCTTTTCAACTTTAATAGCAACAACACCGGATCGTTCTTTACCAGTCAAATAAAAAGAAACTGTCATGCTTCGATGTCCTTTTTCATCAAATGTTTTTGCACTTTAGGTAAAAAGAAAACAAAAATTATCTATATTAAGTAAAAATACTTCTATTTTAAGCAAGAGAATTTTAGTAACATCATCGACAGCAAAAAAAGAAACCTGTTTATTGAAATATATCATAATGTACGGAAAGTAATATTTGACCAGATGTGTATGTTCAAGTCTGTGAAAAGAACGTAATAGTATATCAAAAATAGAAATTACCACAGTAATCTATGAGACGCGAATTGAACATAATCTCTTTGTTCGACAATATCCGAGGACTTCACTAGAATACAAGTACCTTGAAGACTATGTACTATTTCTTTAATGTAACCGATAGCGCAAAAGTCTTGACACAAAATATTCACTCATGTTTTGGCCGCTGGGAAGACAATTAATTAGAGTCAGAAGTAATAGATTTGAATAGAATTTTTCCATATATGTACTCGGGATATCTTTTATCAATTTTCCTATCTCGATTGAAACTTGTCAAATTTAAAATCCGAAACAGTTTTTTATGGATTAGTACCAATTTTTCTTTAGTGGAAACGCATAGATGAGATTTCACTTATTGTAATATCCAACTCTGCACAGAGTTTAACACTCTACAATGATATTGGCTTGACACTGTTTCAAGACACAAACTAAATAATACCCCCAAAGTTTACTCGCAGTGCTAAATCTTACTACAGAAGAAATTTTTGAACACATATTTTTAGATAACGAAAAATAATGTTTCTCACTAACTCTAACCAATTGTCTTTTAGTGATTGAAAAATGAACGAGTATTTCGCACTATATATTATTTGAAGATTCAATTATGACGTCAGCTTTTAATTATTTATTTCTGCTTGTTTCAATAAGGACTTTACATGGAGTAGGATGGAATAAGCTTCAAAAATATTTTTTTTCGTCCTAAAGGACTGAATACTTCCAAAAAATTGCATGTGTTGTCTCTTTCTATGTGACATCACATTCATGAAATGGTTTTCAAAAAGAAATGAATTTATCAATATATTAATTCGTTTGATTAAGTATACAAAGTATTATACCACTGAGAGTAAGACAAAAGTTTTAGCGAACATAATTTATTTCCATATAGAAAGCTCAAGAAAACTTTCATTTTATATGAAGTAATAAGAAAAACAATGCTCTATTTTTCTGTGATATTTGATCATTCTTCAACGAAAATCATACAGTGAGGGGTCAAAAAAGCATGTACATTTTTGTTTTTACGCATAAATGAATAATAAGTATGCTCTGAAATTTTCTCTCATATCAAACTTTGTAGAGCTTTTTTTGCTGATCATTTTGATAAAAAAAGTTTTTGATTTTCATGGAGTAATGACGATGTTATAGTCAAAATACTAAACACTGTAACATAAAGTAGGGAAAAAAAGTTTAGCACACTTTTAGTATTTGGCTAATTTGTACGTTATTTCACAACATCTGAAAGATGTTCTATACACCATTCAACGCAGAATTTAATGGGCTACATTTTGGTAACAAGCATTTATACTCATATTGCAGTTAATTAATAATAATTAGCAATTAATTAATAAAATTTTGATTTATTTTTAAATTCCAACTCTTTCATATGAAAGAGCATAAAAAACTGAACAAAACTCTACATATGAGAGAAAATTTTCAGA